GCCGCGACAAACGCAGATGTTAGATTAATATCTCTTTATCGGGTACATCAATGTCACCCACACTTTGCAGAGCAGTTTGTATCAAGTTGTCTTAACTTAACCATATTTTTCCACAACAATTGAAGTTAGATTAAAAAAACATTTCTTCATAGATTTGCACAAAAATACTCTAAATCTCCGTCACGCGGAAAATGGGATTGTTCTCAGCACTTCCCGCTTCTCACACACATTTTGCATACACATATTATGGCCTTCGTCATTGCTCATCAATGACACTCTTTAGTGGAAATACCTGTTACAAGAAATTAACTTTATAGTAAACACGTTTTGTTTTTTTTTGCACTAAAGGTTCTCATAACATGCGTTCAATAAACATTATTTTGAGATTCGAAAAAAATGACAGATTTGCTTTTAAAGACGATATTCTCCCAGCAGTAAACTTTTTAAAATCTGCAGAAGCTCCCCACTGGGATTTTAAATAGTATTTATTTAGGAAATTTCTAGAATACAGCTCACAGGTACAAAAAAAATTGATCTGTTAAGACAAATTGATGTTATCATTGTGCAAAGCTGGAGACTTTATGAACGGTAGTTGAAGAAAATTTGACAATAAGTTGCGCCACGAATTTTTGACCGCACTATAGATCAGGAATATTAAAAATTGAGTTCTAGATCTATATATGGTTTTTCATAAGGTAATAATCGTTTTATTCGTGGAAGGGGCAGTAGAGGACTTTATAATTTATAGTTACCGCTATGACAGGCTAAGAGCCTTGATTACGCTGAATCTTTAGGCTTGACTTGTGATTATGACATGTCGTAAGAAGACAGTTTGCCCTGTCCAAACCAAAATGACCTTACTGCTCTTTTCTGTACCGGATTTATTTCGCTTTTCTAGGTAGTCTCACTGGGTATTTCACACCTAAGTTGGGGTTGTTTCAGAATGCTTTCTGGTTTGCCGTGGTAATAGTATAGATTGTGAAGCGCATAGAGCATGCTGTTGAGCGGGGATTTGCGCTATACAAATGCTATCTATTATTACTATACTAGTAGGGAATCGGGCCTAACAAAGAGGGTCTTGAGATTACGTGTGGTTAACAGGCTAGACGGAAGTGACTCAGTATCAACAACATCATCATCAACAACATCAGCATCAACATCACCACCACCATCACCAC